CAGAATAGTAAAATATAGATCCTTGGAATATATTAAATGTGCAAAATATTTTCTTTCTAAAAACTTGCATTGTACCATTGCTTCAAATTTACAATATGTTGTTAAAAATTTAATATTATATATTATTTCGAGTATAAATTTTTTACTTTCTTTGAAGGTAATCATTTTAACATTTAAAAGATGATTATGTTTGTTAACAATTTTATTTATATAGATTTGAAATTTAGGATTGTTTGACTTGGAACATGATGTATTAACAAAAAATTCGCACTTGATTTTTTTTGTAACAGTATCTTTCTTTGATTTTGACGAGCATGATCATATAGGTAAGTACGCCTTCTAATAATCCCATCTTCACAGTACATATGATCTTTTTTTGTACAAAATCTATTTTTTTTTGCCCACTCACTAATAAATAAATCACATACCTCCCATGTTGGGAAAGCCTTGGTACTAAACAATTTAGAATTTACAACTTCATTAGTGGCTTGTAAATTGTTGATATCAACTTTAATTGCTTTAGTCCTAAACAAATCAGAATTTAAGATTTCTTTAAGAGATATTAATGAACTGGTATCTATAGTTTCATTAGTATTATCGATATCGAATTCAATCATTTCAGTTATACCGAAAATCTAAGGTTTAAACATATAAGAAAAAAAAAATTAACATACTTGTTGACTTTGTTAGCTAGAAAAAAAAATTTTTTGCCAACCACTTTTGCAAAACAACAAGAAAAATCAGTTAGGTGATGATACAAAAAGGCCAATGACAATTTTTAGCAATGATATTTAATATACAAATTCTAATGATGACTTCTGAAGATCTAACAGTTAAAAAAAAACAAAAGATGCTTTATTAACTAGAAAAAAAGATCTAGCTATAGAGAGTTGGCATTACGTGCGATGGGTATCATTGCAGAAGGTTTTGGGGCAAAATAGGTTGCGTATGTAAATCCACGATTGGCAGGGTAGCACCAACAACCCCTAGGTGGTCTGGGGGATCTTGATTGGGAGGGTAATACTAG